TCTCTTCTTTTCTTTTTTCCTATTTCGCTCATCCTTTCTCTGTTTATCTTCCCTTTCTCCGTTCTTGATTTGGTTGTTTTTTCACCAAGGAGCTAACTTGCTTGGAAGTGAGAAATATTGCCTTCGTTTCCCCTACCCTGTTCATAGAAAATTATTAATCTTACATTTTCTCTTTCATATGAAATAATGATCCATTCTATATATCTTCAGTTCCTGCAATGCATAGAGCTGCACTATTACAGTAAACTATACACATAAAACACGGGTTTATGTTAATATATGTACATACGCACAATATATGTATGTGTGTGTGTGTGTACAAATAGATATATATGTACAAGACTGTAGAGTTCGGTCTGCGCGCAAAAATAATTTGGGTCAAATTCTGTCCACGCACATGTAGTTTTAGGATAACTTTCCGCGCACGCTTAGGTCTTTCTTAAATCATCTTCCGCGCATAAAATTCCTTTGCCTTTCCGCGCACTTGTTTCATCATCCGTCCGCAGATCCGTCCGCGCAAATGTAGACAAAATGATGTTTTCCGCGCATGAAAAAAATGTAATATTCCCCTCGCAAGGAAAATACTCTACAGTCTGGTATGTATATATGAATATATATGTGTGTGTGTGTGTATGTGTGTATATATATAATATATATATATATATATATATATATTATGTACGCATTTATGTGCACACACACACGCATGCACATGTGTATATACATAGACAAACACAAGTGGGCGCACCCCCTTCCTTCCTGTTTCTGAAAAATAAAAAGATAATTTTAATCAAAAATGAAAGTGAGAGGCGCGAATTTCGTAACGAAAGAAGGGAAGGAGAGGAAATAGAGGAGGAGGAGAGGGGGAGGAGGGGGAATATATATACATACATACACACATATATATATATATATATATATATATATATATATGTATATATGTGAGTGTGTGTGTGTGTGTGTGTGTGTGTGTGTGTGTGTGTGTGTGTGTGTGTGTTATATATATATATATATATATATATATATTATATATATATATATATATATATATATATCATATGTCTACATATACAAATAAATACATACGTGTATATATATGTGAATAATTAGGTTCTTATTATTTGGATTGGTTTAGTCTAGGGTCAGATCGAAACATAATTCAACCACTTATATTTATTATAATCAAGAGTATATATGATATTTTACAGAGACACATTAATTCAAATAAAAAAATATCTAATTTTCCATTTCCGTTTAGAAAAACAGTTTTCATTTCTAAATTCTTCCTCGGTTCTTAATCGCCGGATCTTTTCCCGGCCACACACCAGACAGGCCAGGATTTACGACGGATTAATGGAAAGGCGCCTCTCCTGTCCGGCCCTTGACAGAAGTCGGTCCCTGTTAAAAGAAATCCCCCCAAATAAATCAATTATGGAATTAACTTGTATACCCAATTTGGATAATCAATGAAAGAACACGTTAATCTAAATAAAAAATAATAATAAAGACGATTCACTAATCTCACATAAAAAAATGTTTACGTTTACCCTTATGGATCTCCGCGAGTGACTGAATGAAGCTTTGCCACTACTACGGCACTTTTATTACGGTACGTTTTCTGTGTTCAGCGTGATTACACAGAGAACGCGAATTCTAAGGGGAACAAAAATAATGAAGGCTTCCCTTTAACGAGAAGCAACTTTTTTCTGCGAAAGGTAATGGAGATAATTACCTTACAGTGATGTAAAAATGATGTACAGAGCATTAGTTTTATTTAATAAAAAAAAACATTACACTGATTTATACGAAGTACTGATCCAAGGGAAACCCGACACGTATTAATTTCCCAAAGATAATGAATAAAATCTATATTAACGTGTCCCTTCTTCCGGAAGGCCTCTTTCGCCCGCGGATCAGCCTTTGGGAAGGACGTACCGTTATCCTTCAGGCAAGAATTCTTTCGTCATATTGTTTTCTATAGACTTTATTCAGGTATGATGCATTTCAGCGACTTAGAGATATATGCATTGGGTGAAGGCCACAGTGTATATCTTTTAGGTTTATGAGAGGAAATATAAGAATATGCATTTGAAACGTATATTATCGGTTATGTATCTGAACTTTAAAAAGAACCGTGCAAGTGCTTATCTATTGCTTATGCTGAAGTCGAAGTGGCACCACATCACATGACACCAACCTTACCAACAATCCACCTCAGACCATTTGTCTATCACATAGCATTTGCTCCTCACACGTCTCCACCCGATGTAAATGTGATCCACAATGCTAGGAAACACCGAAATGCATGCATTATAACAATGTACGAAGGGGATCGCATGTACCACTATTCAAACACAGTTACACCCAGGAACTCAGAGTGTGCATCTCTTTACATAGTGTCGTTTTTATGTGATAAAAGAGCTATAGCTTAAGGAATTACATTTTAAGGAACCTTCAGAGCTTACTAATATACTGAAATTACTGCATGACGTTCAAAGATATTCGTCTGTTTATGCATTTTATTTAAAGATTTAAAAGTTATTCTTTCAATATACGACGGGCCTCGCCAAATCATTTAGGCCAAAAATAACCGTATTTTAAAAGCAACTTCTATATAATACTATATGCTTCAAATGTGCTCATGTTTTAACTTTTCTAATACTCTATATTTTTGATGGAGTTGGAGGGTAATGACACAGAAGTGGCTTATATTGAAATACGGCGGAATGAAGATTGAAGATTGGTGACAGAGATTTCTGCGGTAAAGGTGGAACGACAATCTTGCAGAGAGCCAAGCAGGAATCTTCATCAACCTTCAGCCACGGTTTAGAATCCTTTGTGTGTAGCCAGCCGTCTTTAAATTGTCTTTGGCGGCATTCTGCTTGATCAACATTTCAGTGATAAACACCTCAGTCTCAATATACGTATTTCATTATCCTTTGGCGGCATTGTTTCATTCCTCTATGTTTAACTTTTGTAGAGAATCCTGCAATACTTAATCGTACCTTTCTCATATTCGTGAGTAGATCTAACGTTCGACTTGCATGAAAGGTCATGAAAATCATCATCATTTCGGAGTTAACGCCGACGGGGGCGCATAGCCGCATCCACCCTTTGCTTGTACCTGCGAGGATCCCTCATGGCAAGTCGCCAGGCAGGGACTCGGCCCATCTCAAGCTCCTCACGACAGGTTTGATCGATCTGCCCAAGCCACGACTTCCTAGGTCGACCCAAGGCCTCCACCCAGGGTTGTCTCGAACAGAGACAACCTGGTGGGCGGGATCATCCTGAGGGAAGCAAGCCAGGTGGCCATAAAGCCTGAGTTGGCGATCACGGATTGTGCAGGTAATAGGTTCTGTGCCAGTTTCACGGTGCAGCCGTTGGTTGAACACATGGTCCCGCCAACAGTACCCCATGATCCGGCGCAAGGACCTATTACAAAAGGCATCAAATCGAGACTCCAAGGCACAGGATAGTGTCCAGGTTTCACTACTGTATAGCAAAACTGGGACTATCAGGGGCCTGAAGTCACGAAGCTTGGTCCTTCTGCACAGGTACCGGCATCTCCAAATACTCTTGTCAAGAGAGTTCATGACCCCAGCTGCCAGGCCAATCCGTCTGCTGACTTCATGGTCTGACAGCCCAGAGTTATGAACTACACTACCAAGGTATGTAAAGTTCTGTGACTTCAATGTCCTCGCCGCAAGCATGTACCGACTGAACAGGTTCTCCTAATATGTCCCCAAAGTCCTGGATCTTGGTATTGGTCCAGGTGACCTCTAGACCCAAGGGCTTCGCTTCATTACTAAATGCATCAAGAGCCACCACTAAGGATTCCAAAGACTCAGATAGAATAGCAAATCATCAGCAAAGTCAAGGTCGGTAACCTTGACATTGCCCAGAGTTGCTCCACAATGACTTTGAACAGTAGCTCTGCCCATTATCCAGTCCATGCAAGTGTTGAAAAGCGTTGGTGCAAGGACACAGCCTTGCCTCACTCCTGAACTAACAGGAAAGAAGCTTGACAGGCCCCCACCGCACTTTACAGCACTTTCAGTACCAGTATATAGGTTTGCTATTAGTCTAATAATCCTTGTTGGAATTCCTCTCAGTCTCAAGATCTCCCAGAGTGATTCCTGATGCACCGTATCGAATGCCTTCTTGAGGTCGATTTAGGCTGCAAGCAGCCCACGCTCGAATTCACAACGACGCTCTATAATGACTCGAAGCGCTAGGATACGGTCTATTGTGGACTTACCAGGAGTGAATCCAGATTGCTCCAGTCTCTGATGCCTTAGTAGGTGATCTCTGATACGTCTCAGAAGGATGTGAGCAAGAACCTTGCCTGGTATACTGAGCCGTGTGATGCCTCGGTGGTTGCTGCAGTCCCATCGGTCCCCCTTCCCCTTCCAGAGAAGAATGACCACACCCCTCAACAGATGGCAGCCAGATGGCAGCCAGGACGGAATGCAACCCCCGCGTCATAGGTTCACTACCAGCCTTTAACAGTTCAGCAGGGATGCTGCATATACCAGCTGCTTTACCACTCCTCAGCTTGGAGATCGGCCCCCTAACTTCGGTTAGGGAGGGGGCATCCTCACTGATGGGTGGGTCCGGCAACGGAATCTCGGCACTACCCGCATCCAAGTTAACTGTTGGTAGGTCACCCTGATACAACTGCTCGAAATACTCAGCCCAACGTTCCCGCACTGCAACAGGATCTGAGATGATCTGACCAATTACTGAGCGAACTGCTGTCACCTGTGAAGAGGGCTTGGAGTTCAGCTTTCTCAGGGCTTGGTATGCAGGACGAAGGTCATTTACTAAGAAATGGCCTTCTACCTCCTCAGCAAGATTCCTAATAAAGTATTCCTTGTCCCTTCTTAACAAAGACCAAGTTCTGCACACCTGAGAATGGTGCAAATCTCGATCCCCTGCTAGACGAGCCACACGGCAAGCATCTGTGGCATCCAGTGTCTCCTGCAAGATGAAATTTCACCTTGCTCTCGGGGGTTCACCAATCGTCTCTTGAGCTGCATCAAGCGTTTCACGTTTGAAGGTGTCCCACAAAAGTATGGGTCCATCAGATTTTCGAGCGCTGTGAAACTACCAGAGACTGCTTCAGCAAACCCCTGGGCACATTCCCACTCCATCAGCCTGTCCAAGTGAAACACCCTGGGGTGATCATTGGTCCGCTGGGGGGTTTTGAAATGGACTCGGAGGTAGTCATAACCAATCTATGGTCAGCACCACAGAAATCGGCACTCCTATACACCCTGCAATTCTGGAGGATCCTCCAATGAGTGCTAACAAGTATGTGGTCGATCTCCTTGGCTGCATTACCCGCATCACTGTACCATGTCCAGCGATGTGGGTCTGGGCGCTGGTATCAGGAGCCTGAAATCCTCAATATCTGGGACCTAGCAAAGTCCCAGAAAAGGAGGCTATTCTCACTGCCGGTATCAGTTCCCGAACCATGGGGACCGACAGACATCTCATAGCCAGGTCGATTACAGCCAGATACCGCATTGAAGTCAGCCAGGATAACACGAAAATCTCGCCTGGGGCACGTGTCTGACACAGACGCTAGTTTGGTGTAGAACATCTCTTTCACATCAAGTTTACAAACATCGGTAGGTGCGTACACAGCAATAAGAGACATGAAGCCAAAAGACAGCTTCAGTCTCATTACCATTATACGCTCATCGACTACCGAAGGCTGGAGTCTGCTGGAGGTGGTGACCGTCGCTGCGGCCCGACCAGTAGTAGGTGTAGCCACCTACACTGATCGTTCCGCTGCCAGGTCTTCTTACCTCCGAGAGAGCAGCCACCTCCACTCTCAGCTTCCCTAGTTCCCTCGATAGCAGAGGCAACCGATCATCCTGACGCAAAGAACGGACGTTCCAAGCCCCCACCCTGACTCCCCACCTGAGGTTTAGCCTCAGGCAATCGCTCCAGGTGGACGCCACCTCTGCCACCACCGCCGACGCTGCTCCACATATAAGGGGACGGCAGGCTGTGGAACCCATCATCCGCCTACAGGGCTCCCGAAGGCTTTCCCCCGTAAGCTTCACTACGGGCTGGCATCTACAAAAACGGATACGGGACGAGTAGTTCTCGCTCCCGACCTGCGTCCTGGAAGTCGCCCTCCCAGCGGGATCCACAGCCCGCCTCTCTTGTTGGGTGGGAGGAGCAGTTCCCCTCCTCCCAGCATTTCCATATACATTTCTCCTTGCCGAAGGGTTTTTTATCTGGGGGGGAGGAGGACTGGGAAGGCCCACCTCCCCTGAGCCTCCCGTTAACCCCAGGGGGCCTAGGGGCAGGAGTTGGTACAGGGCCAGGGCGTGTCCACACGCTGGTGGGCCATGACCCTGTACCTCTAGGGCCTCCTGCTGCTCCAAGATCCCCCTCAGTTTAGCCTGGAACCGCAAGGTACCCAGTCTCCATGGGAGGCCACGAGGAGGCACTGCAGGGAGTCTCGATGATGGAGAGGCTATGCACTGGCAGGGGAGGCTTATGCAGTGCTGCTCCCTTTTTCGCACTAGGCTAGCCAGCGGTGGCAGCTGAAAGCGAGAAAGCATGCAAGCTCTTAACACTACCTAGACTACCACACCATCGCATCACACCACCCTGCGCATGAAGCACCCACCCATGAAGATGGAGATCTAGAAATGCAAATAAATATAACATGGGAAATACACAAATGTTAGAACGGCTTTTAGGCATACTATATACATCCCTTTATATTGTAAAAATATAAACTTTGCAAAATCACCATAATTTGCACCAAAATAGTGTTATATTACCTCACTCATGCCGTACGAGGTTACCTCGTACACATACACACACACACACGCACCCACACACACATACACGCACGCACGCATATATATATATATATATATATATATATATAATATATATATATATATATATATATATATATATATAATATATATATATATATATATATATATATATATATATATATATATATATATATATTATATACATAATATATATATATATATATATATATATATATATATATATATTATATATATACATACATATATATATATATATTATATATAATTATATATATATATATATATATATATATATATTATATATATATATATATATATATATATATATATATATATATATATATATATATATATATATATATATATATATATATATATATATATATATATATATATATATATATAACTACAAACACAACACACACACACATGTGTGTATATATGTATATATATATATATATATATATGTATATATATATATATATATATATATATATATATACACATTCATATCTGACATATATATATATATATATATATATATATATATATATATATATATATATATATATATAGAGAGAGAGAGAGAGAGAGAGAGAGAGAGAGAGAGAGAGAGAGAGAGAGAGAGATCACTTGAATTAAATGACGTTTCATACGCATTTAGAATTCC